GATATTTCATTTGTCAATCTTTTGTTTTTAGAACCTCATGAAAATTTGAAAGGAAATGCAATAAAGCAATCGATTAGAGGGAGCTGGGAAGGTGGCTCAGTGGTAGAGCGCTTGCCTTGCATGCTCAAGGCCCTGGGTTCGATTCCTCAGCACCACATAAGAAAAAAGCCGGAAGTGGCGCTGTGGCTCAAGTGGTAGAGCGCTAGCCTTGAGCTGAAGAGCTGAGGGACAGTGCCCAGGCCCAGAGTTCAGGCCCCACGACCGGACCCAAAAAAAAAAAAAAAAAAAAGAAATCGATTAGAGCCGGGCATTGGTGGCTCACACCTGTAATCCTAGCTACTCAGGAGGCTGAGATCTGAGGATCACAGTTCAAAGCCACCCCAAGCAGGAAGTCCATGAGATTCTTATCTCCAATTAACCACTAAAAAACCGGAAGTGGTTCTGTGGCTCAAGTGGTAGAGCGCTAGCCTTGAGCTGAAGAGCGCAGGGACAGAGTCCAGGCCCAGAGTTCAAGCCCCATGACCGACGAAAGAAAAAAAGAAAGAGAGAGAGAGAGAGGGAGGGAGGGAGGGAGGGAGGGAGGGAGGGAGGGAAATCTACTAGAAGCCAAAGATTTGATCTTGCCAGATTGATACACATCTATAATCACAGCACCCAAGAGGCAAAGGCAAGAGGATCTCAAGTTTGAAGCCAGCCTGGGCTGCACAGTGAGACTCTGTCTTAACAAGACTTTATTGTTGCCTGGCTCTCTTGTTATGCAAGCGCTAGCTTTGCCCATGTGTGCTGGTGGTGGCCCAGGAGAGTCACCCTGCTGGGCTGTAGTAAGCCTTTACTGCTATGAATCAGGGGCTTCCTCCTTTGGGCACAAGGTTGTTTCCTAAATGAGGTAGATGCTTGTGAACCCTCGGATGTAAATGAAATGATGCAATTTTGCTAAAATGTAGAAGAGCTATAAAAAGTACAACTGAAAGGATCAGGCAGGAAAAGCTGCAACTATAGCCAGAGAGCACACACAGAAAAGAGCCCTTGATTCCTCTTCTCCGCACTGCCTGAGAATCAGGACACACGGTCTGAAAGACAGCTGTTGCTCAGACTGAAACACACTAGTAGAGGATTTTCCTTCCTCTAACCAAAGAGGATGCTCTGGTTCTCAGAGAAAAAGACAGCACCACTTCCTCCCTGCTGCCTTCACTGTACCCGCAACAACTAACAGGCATGAAGAGACAAAGGACTCTTCCTTAGACAAGAGAGCCAGGCCCTGCTGACACTGTGTTTTCTGAAAGACTTCCGGAACCAGAATGTCTGTTGCTGGAAGCCAAGTTTGTGGCAACAGGCATAGGAAACAAACAACACCTCAGATGGATCTCAAAGGCGATAACTTAAATGAAAGAACTCAGACCACATCCTCTTCACTCACCACAGGTGTCTGGGAAAGGCAGGGCTACACATCCCCACTGTGGAACCACGGCGGTGCTTCCCGAGGCTCAGTGGGGCGGAAGGACACAGGGCGCTCCGGCTTATGGAACTGCCGTGGTCTTGACTGTGCTGGGGATGATGGCACAGAGTTGGATACGTAAAAGAAGTAAATCATATACATAAATTATACCTCGAAAAGGCATGCCCTTTTTACATCAGCATGTGAAGAATGTCTCTGTCTGGAAGAGTACCGCTGCTGGCTGAATGAGGGATTATGTGAACATCAAAACAAAAGTAGCCATCCCAGGGCTGGGAAGGTGCCTCAGTGGTAGATGTTTACCTTGTATGTATGAGGCCCTGGGTTCGATTCCTCAGCACCACATAAGCAGAAAAAGCTGGAAGTGGCACTGTGGCTCAAGTGGTAGAGCGCTAGCCTTGAGCTGAAGAGCTGAGGGACAGCGCCCAGGCCCAGAGTTCAGGCCCCACCACCGGCAAAAAAAAAAAAAAAAAAAAAAGACCACGAATTTTGTGAAGTTTATGTAATCGCTTAATCATAATAAAAAAAAAATTATGACGGGGAGGGGAGGGATGGTGAGACGCAAGGGGAGAGGTAGTACTCATCGACAAGCAATGCGCGCATGCTCTCACTCACCTAACTGTAACCCCTTCGCAGAGCATCTTTGCAATAAAATACAATTTAAAAAATCATACAGCTGGGAAGGTGGCTCAGTGGTAGAGTGCTTCTGAGGCCCTGGGTTCCATTCCTCAGCACCACATAAGCAGAAAAAAAAAAAAGCCGGAAGTGGAGATGTGGCTCAAGTGGTAGAGTGCTTGCCTTGCATGCAAGAGGCCCTGGGTTCCATTCCTCAGCACCACATAAGCAGAAAAAGCTGGATGTGTGGCTCAAGTGGTAGAGCGCTCGCCTTGAGCTGAAGAGCGCAGGGACAGCGCCCAGGCCCAGAGTTCAAGCCCCACGACTGACCCCAAAACAAAAAAAAAAAAAAGTGGGGCTGGGAAGGTGGCTCAGTGGTAGAGCGCTTGCCTTGCGTGCCTAAGGCCCTGGGTTCGATTCCTCAGCACCACATAAGCAAAAAGAAAAAAAGCCGGAAGTGGCGCTGTGGCTCAAGTGGTAGAGCGCTAGCCTTGAGCTGAAGAGCTGAGGAACAGCACCTAGGCCCAGAGTTCAGGCCCCACAACCGGACCCAAAAAAAAAAAAAAAAAAGTATAGAGACAAAAAGCTGGATGTGGCAATGTGGCTCAAGTGGCAGAGTGCTAGCCTTGAGCTGAAGAGCTCAGGGACAGCGCCCAGGCCCAGAGTTCAGGCACCATGACTGACCAAAAAAAAAAAAAAAATCACACAGAGAGGCTGGGCGCTGGTGGCTCATGCCTATAATCCTAGCTACTCAGGAGGCTAAGATCTGAGAATTGTGGTTCAAAGCCAGCCTGGGCAGGAAAGTCTGTGAGACTCTTAACTCCAATTAATCACCAGAAAACCAGAAGTGGCGCTGTGGCTCAGTGCTAGAGCTCTAGCCTTGAGCTGACGAGCTGAATGTCAGCGCCCAGGCCCAGAGTTCAAGCTCCACCACCAACAAAAATAAACATAAACACACACACACACACACACACACACACACACAGAGAAATTAATATATAAAATTGATAGTGAAGACTAGAATAAGGTACTTTCTGAAAATATGTATTCATTACAACAGGGAAAGAGGAAAGAGCCTGACCCACACATCTTGTGGCAAAACCGAGGAGAGATGGAAACCACAGGGCCAGTGGGTAGAATAGCAGCAGCACTGGGCTGTTCCTGCCAGTGAGTATCCATCTGAATCTGATCACAAAGGCACACAGAAACCCCCGCTGCGCGGGCCTGGAGTGGAGTGCTTGCAGCGGGTGTGAAGACCAGGGCTCCATCCCAAGCACCAGGTGAACTTAAAATAACAACACGAAAACTCTAACAGCAATATTCTAAAACACAGCCTATACATCTTCAGATACCACAAGGTCAGTAGAATGCAGTGGCTCAAGCCTATAGTCCTAGCTACTTGGGAGGCAGAGATCTGGGATCATAGTCTAAAGCCAATTTAGGCATAAAAGTTTGACACTCCATCTCAACCAATGACTGGGTGTGATAGTGCATACATTATCCTTACTGCAGGGGAAGCAGCTGGACATGATGGCACACACCTGTCTTCCCCAATGACATGTGGAAACACCAGGAGGAGGACCACAGCACACCTCTACCTGGGCATAAAGTGAGACCTTACCTCAAAAATAACCAATGCCAACAGGCTCAAGTAGTAGAGCACCTGCCTAGCAAGGTGCGGCTCATGAGTCCAATATTCAGTAAAGAAAAAACAAAACAAAACACAAGTGGCAAGGTCAACGTCACAAAAGCAAAAAATAGTTGTTTCAGCTAGGTATGGTAGTGCATATGTGTAATCCTAAGTTCTTGGGAGGATTGTAGTTTGAGGGCAACTTGGGATCTTATCTCAACCAAAATCTGGATATAATTGTATATGCCTGTGCTCTGAGCCAGGAAAGAGATATGGGCAAGGTGGTTCAGTTGTGTGAGACCCTATGTGAACAATAACTAAAAAGAGCTGGGGGGATGGTTCAAGTGGCAAAGCACCAGCCTAGCAAACGCAAGGCCCTGAATTCAAATTCCAGCACCTCCTCCTCCAGACCAAAAATATCTGGCAAACGTGAGGCCCTGCTTAAACCTCCAGGATCAACAACAAACAAACAAAAAGGAAAGCAAAATGCAGTGCAACCTAAGATATTCCTAATCCATAATGCTTAAAACCAGAAGTGTCTCAGATTTCTTTTTCATATTTCAGAACATAAACTTAATGGAATATAAAAATCCAAAATTCAAAATGCTCTAAAATATTTCAGATATCATCAAAAAAGTAATCTACTTTCTGCAACAAAGAAAGAAGACCATGCTTTTAACCTGAAGAGGTATTCAGGGTTGAAAGGTATCTCATTTTCACACCCAATCTTAACTTGTTTAGTTAGGAGGACCAGCTCCTAACGCTTCATAGACTAGAATGTGCGCAGCAGTGTCAGGTCCCATTGTGTGAAACAAGATTCTTCATTGTTCTGAGGAAAGCTCTTGAGGTAAATGATTGAAGCACCCTACCCAACACACCAAGACAGTTTGTGCTTTAGTCTGCACGCACTGTCCGGTGAGGTGGCTGTGGTCCCCAGTAGCCAGTGAAACACAGTTGAGCCCAGACTGTGAAATACACACACAGTGACAAAGCAGTATGTGAAGCATAGATAACAGGCTGAAATGATGCTTAGTATTTACTGGATGAGATAGTTATTCCAGTTATTTAAACGACAGTAAATTAATTCCATGGTGTTTTTCTTTAGTGCCGTCGACAGGGCTGAGGGTGACCCCGACTGTCTGGTGCTGGGCAGGCTCGGCGTCCATCTCCCCTGAACTGGGTTGAGCTGACTGTGGCCTCAGCAGACACTGAGGAGGACACTGATGGACAAGGGAGCTGCTCCCAGCCCTGCTTGCTTTTCGGGGTGATCTCTGCCCATCTCCGCCCACCCGGAGGAGGTACCTGAAACTCTGATGCGTTGCTCCGCAGCTGGTTCACGTTGGGCAGGGAGCCTCCGTGGTACTGCGTGAGGCGCAGCTGCTGGAGCTTCTGAAACTGTACCTGGAGGGAAAACAACGTTGGAAACTCAGACCACAGCAGCACAGTGCTGGGTTTTTTAGAGTGAAGGTCTTGGGCTGTAATGTTTCCTCTACTGAAATGATCACAACCTTCAGCTTGCTGGTGTTTTCTGGGTTTTGACCACTTCTGCTTCTGGAAAGAACTCACCCACGTTCCAATGTTTCCCATGTCATGACAGTCAGGGACTGTGTGCATAGGAGGATGTGCAGCCACTTTTAACAAAGAGCCGGACACTGGTGGCTCACGCCTGTCATCCTAGCTACCCAGAAGGCTGAGAGCTGAGGATCGCGGTTTGAAGCCAGCCGGGGCAGGAAAGTCCGTGAGCCTCTCATCTCCAATTAGCTACCAGAAAACCAGAAGTGGTGCTGTGGCTCAAAGTGGTAGAGTGCTAACCTTGAATGAAAAAGCTCAGGAACAGTACCCAGGCCCTGAGTTCAAGCATCACAACCAAAAAACAACAGCAAAAAACAAACAAACAAAAAAAACACAAAAAACCCAAAAGAACAAAACCCAGTCAAACAGATACACAGCAGGGGTGCGTGTAATGAAATCCCATCCATTATCCCCTTCCCCACTGAAAGACCCAGATGAGACAGGATCGCCAAAAGATAAGTCCAAGTTAGTGGTACCTATATTCTTTGGTGTCTTTATCCTTCTATTACACACACTATTAGATTTCTCAAACATACTGCACAAGGAGACAACTATAATACATTAATCAAAACCCAGATCTCAGAGTAAAAAATGAGAAGGAGAACATGCTGAGTTTCTTCAACCTATGAGCTCAGCTGTAAGAATAAAGTCTGGCCAGGAGCAATAGCTCATACCTGTAACCTCAGTTACTAGGAGTAAGGGAGGGCAGAGACTAAAAGGACCAAAAGCTGAAGTCAATCTGTACCAAAAATTAGCAAGATGCTATTTCAACCAATGAGCCAGGTAGGTGGCACATTGATACAGGGAGGCCATAGGTAAGAGACCTGTAGCCCTGCGCACAAAGGCAAGATCCAGCCTGAGCAAATGAAAGCAGAGAGGGCTGGGCGCATGGCTCAAATGGTAGAGCACCTGCCTTGCAAATGGGAGGCTATGATTTCAAAAGTCCAGTGGGTAAAACAAGCAAAACCAATAATATGGTCTCCCAGCTTTCTACCTGAACAAAACCACTTAGGGAAGTTCTTGATGCTCTATCCTTAAAGTTCTCTAGACAAAATTCACAGGCAGCCAGGCACCAGTGACTTAGGCTGTAATCCAAACCCTAGGAGCTGTGCGCATGCACATGCATATGCATACACACACACACACACACACACACACACACACACACACACACACACACACACACACACACACGTGTCTCAACCATGCTGTCTAAAGCTCTTCTTCAAATAATCAGCCATCTATTTATTTGAATGCATAGAAACTTAACTGTGAGTGAGGGACTAGGCCGGCACAGGCTTACTCAGGCACAACCTTGCTAAAACTCCTGACTCCAAAGCATCTCCCAAAGGCTCCAACTCTGACCCAGAAGGGCTGACATGTGAATCAAAGGGCTCTAACCCGCCCTGCAGGCCCTCCCACAGCACCGTGACTGTGCTCGCTCCCCAGGGGCTGTTTCCAGAGCCTCAGAGAACCAGAAGTCCTGTCTTTGTATCCGGAGCTTGAGTGCGGGTGAGCAATTATTACAGTGTCTCCTTCACACAGGATTAAGAGAGAAAAAAAGGTGGTGATGTGTAAAATGTAAAGCTCTAGACAACTTGTCAAGCTATTATTTCTGTGAAGAGTCTCAACTACTTCTAAAAACTTTCTTTTTTATATTTTCCTTTGTTGAAATTTGGAATAATTGAACTAGACAGAAAGGAGATTGTTTTCAGTATCTTTATGTTCACAGATGATGAACAGGAGGACCAGAAGGTGGTTAAAGCAGAGGTCTCAACTTGGTAGCCGAGCGAGTTCTCACTCAGTATTTTAAATTTCAAAAAAAGTTTTAAAAATTGTGAGACTGGGGCTGGGAAGGTGGCTCAGTGGTAGAGCCCTTGCCTTGCATGCCTGAGGCCCTGGGTTCGATTCCTCAGCACCACATAAGCAAAAAGAAAAAAGCCGGAAGTGGCGCTGTGGCTCAAGTGGTAGAGCGCTAGCCTTGAGCTGAAGAGCTCAGGGACAGCGCCCAGGCCCAGAGTTCAGGCCCCACGACCGGACCCAAAAAAAAATAAATAAATAAAAAAATTGTGAGACTGCAGGCTGCGAAGGTGGCTTGGTGGCAGAGCGCTTACCTAGCATGCATGAAGCTTCAGCACCATATACAGAAAAAGCCAGAAATGGTGCTGTCGTCCAAACAATAGAGCACTAGCCTTGAACAAAAGAAGCTCAAGGACAGCGCCCAGGCCCTGAGTTCAAGCCTCATAACTGGGCAAAAATAAATTAATTAATTAATTAAAAAAATTGGAAAACTACATAAAAATCTATATTTGCAATTTCTCTATACTGAGAGTTCATAAAACATTAAGATCACACTCTTTTTTTTTTTTGGTCGGGTATGGGACTTGAAATATGGGCCTGGGCACTGTCCCTCAGCTCTTCAGTTCAAAGCAAAGTGCTCTACCACTTGTGCCACAGCACCACTTCCAGTTTTCTAGTGGTTAATTGGAGATAAGAGTCTCACAGACTTTCCTGCCTGGGTGGGCTTTGAACCGTGATCCTCAGATCTCAGCCTCCTGAGTAAGATTACAAGAGTGAGCCAATGGCACCCAGCTAAGATCACACTCTTGTACTGCAGCAGTGGATGGAGGATGGCTGCATTATGTGGGTTTTGGTTCTGTTATTGGCCCTATAATCCCCCACTGGGACCTAGGATTGTCTGCTACTTACCACCTTGTTCCTGGCTCTTCCACCACTTTCCTGGTCTACCTCACCCAGTAAATTAAGCAAGCAGTCTCTGGCTAACGCTACACATTTTGGTGCAATTTCCTTTCTGTGAACACCTCTGTGAGAAGAAATAAAAGCTTTACTAATTCTTCTTCTTCTTCTTTTATTTTTTCCATTGTAGGGCCTGAACTCTGGGTCTGGGCGCTTTCCCTCAGCTCTTCAGCTCAAGGATAGCGCTCTACCACTTGAGCCATAGCACCACTTCCAGCTTTTTCTGCTTCTGTGGTGCTGAGGAATCGAACCCAGGGTCTCACACATGTGAGGCAAGCACTCTACCACTGAGCCACCTTCCCAGCCTACTAATTCTTTCTTGGAAAGGTCTCACAATAGTTCATACACTTCCAATCTAGACCCCTGGGGCCCTGTGAAGAGCTTGGTGGCTGAGCACGCGCTTGATACATAGGAAGGCCCAGTGTTCCATGGCCAGCACCAGGTGAAAACAAAAACAAAACAGACCCAGCTGGTCTTTTATAGAAATTGATAACACTATTCTAAAATTTGTGGGTGGATGTCCAAATGACTTAGAAGAGTTGTGATTTTTAGAAAGAGTTGAATGGTAACTGGGCGCTGGTGGCTCACACCTGTAATCCTAGCTACTCACAAGGCTGAGCTCTGAGGATCAAGGTTCAAAGCCAGCCTGGGCAGAAAAGTCCGTGAGAGGGGCTGGGAAGGTGGCTCAGTGGTAGAGTGCTTGCCTTGCATGCATGAGGCCCTGGGTTCGATTCCTCAGCACCACATAAGCAGAGAAAGCCAGAAGTGGGGCTGAGGCTCAAGTGGTAGAGCGCTAGTCTACAGCTGAAGAGGGGAGGGACAGAGCCCAGGCCCAGAGTTCAGGACCCACAACCGACAAAAAAAAAAGAGCTGAATGGTAGAATGAAGCGACCAATTTGAAGACTTCTTATAAAGCTGTAGTAATCCAGATCATGGTGCTGTCCAAGAGAAATCTGAGCTGGAGTTCAGTAGTAGTAGTACCCAGCATGTGTGCGTCCTGGGGTTCAATCTTTAGCCTGGGGTAGGAGGGGCAGCTCTAGATCAATGGAACAGAAAAGACAACCCAAAAATAGACCTACACATGCATGACCACCACTGCTACAACCACTCAATAGTCTTCAGCAAATGCTGTTGGATCTCTTCCCTGGGGAATCTGAGTGTCAGGCATCCAGATTCAAATCCAGCTCATATTAGCCCAAATCTATTTTTGCACTTGCTAGGCAGATGCTCTACTACTTGAGCACACCCCTAGCCCTTTTTTGGGTTGTTGTTGGTTGTGGGGCTTAAACTCAGGGCCTGAGAGTTATTCTTGAATCCGTTTTTGCTCAAGGCTAATACTCTGTCACTTTGAACCACAGCTCCACTTCCAGTTTTCTTGTGGTTATTTGGAGATCTCACAGACTTTCCTGCCTGGGCTGGCTTTGAACTGCCATCCTCTAATCTTAGCCTCCTGAGTAGCTAGTATTACAGGTGTGAGCCACCAGCGCCTGGTTTTCTCTCACTCCCCCCCTCCCCCCCAGGGTTTGCTTCAAACTAAGATTCTCCTACATATGTTCCCTGATTAGCTGAGAAGTATGTGCCACATTTGGATTGGCTGAGATGGAGTCTTGCTAACCTCTGACCCCAGCTGACCTTGATCCTCCTGATCTCTACCGCACGTGTGTAACAGTGACCAACTCAACCCTTCAGGTGTATCACTATCCTACAGCTTATCTCTTGATTATATTTTCATATAAAACAGTGAGCTTTTCCAACTATTCAAACCAAATTTACTCTTCAGACTGAAACAAAGAGTTAGCCTATGCTTTCTCAACATGAGTTGTCCTGCATAGAGAAACATCTAGAACAAGTGTCCAACCTATCGTTTCCATCTCCTCCCATCTGCACGTCAGTGTGTCTAACTTCCACCTCCCTCCCAGATCCTGTGTACACACAGATCTCACCAACAGCCTCCACATGACCGCACCAGAGAACAGATCCCATCACGTGAGACCACCAGAGAACAGATCCCGTCACATGACCCCACCAGAGAACAGATCCCATCACATGACCCCACCAGAGAACAGATCCCA